TGAAGTAGGTAAAACTACCTTGGTTAATCATGTCTATAAGATTGTGAAATTGGATTTTGATGCTGCTGCATGGGTAACTGTGTCAATGAATTACCAAATTGATGACTTACTAAAGAAGATTGCCAGAGAATTTGCCATCCCATTTTATGCTAGCAACATGGAAATGACAAATCTAGTCTTGGCCATCCGCAGTTATCTTGATGGTAAAAGGTACATCTTAGTTTTGGATGACATGTGGGAAATGAATGTGTGGATTAGTATCAAGGATGTCTTTCCAAGTAATTGTATTAGTAGGTTTATTTTCACAACAAGGAAATATGAAGTTGCATCATTTGCCACTGAGAAATGTGTGATTAAGCTGGAGCCACTTGGAGAAAATAACTCTTGGAAGTTGTTTTGCATGCTAGCTTTTAGGAACAATGGTGACTACATGTGCCCATTAGAGTTAAAGGATTCTTCTATAAAGTTCTTACAGAAGTGTAAAGGTTTGCCTATCGCTATTCAATGGATAGCTCGCCTACTTTCCTACAAACCGCCAACTACCTCTGTGTGGAAAAATGTGCACGATGAGTTAGTGTTGCAGTCAACTAAAAATGTGATCCCTGGTATTGATGTCATTTTAAAAGTGAGCCTGGAGGATCTTACATATGAGTTAAAGAACTGCTTCTTACATTGTACTATATTTCCTGAGGATTATTTATTGAAGAGGAAGAGGTTAATAAGGCATTGGATCACTGCCGGATTCATCAAGGAAGTAGAGAACAAAACATTAGAAGAAGTGGCTGAGGGCTGCCTGAACGAGCTTGTAAACCGAAGTTTACTAGAAGTTGTGAAGAAGAATGAGTTTGGACGAGTGAAACATTGTCGAATGCATGATATCGTCTACCTTGTTGCCCTTGACAAGGCAAAGGAGGAATGCTTTGGTAATGTTTACAAGGGCCAAGAGACATTTTCATTGGATAGCACACGTCGATTGTCTATACAGAGCACTGGTACTAAAACATCACATGAGTCCTTTTCAAATTCAGTGACAAAATATCAATCTAGTGCAACACATATACGTGCAGTCTATGCTTTCACGAGTCATGTCGATATTGATATGCTGAGACCTGTCATTGCATCTTCCCACTTGCTGTCAACATTGGATCTGGAAGGTTGTCAAATCAAAAAGTCACCCAATGAAGTTTTCGACTTGTTTAACCTGCGGTTTTTGGGTCTTAGGTATACTGGTATTGAAATTCTACCTGAGGCAGTCGGAAGATTACAAAACCTAGAAGTACTTGATGCTTTGTTTACTCCTCTCTCCTCTTTCCCCAAGGGTGTAGGAAAACTAAAGAGGCTTTGGTTCCTGTACGCATGTACACTGCATAAGGGACCTAATCTTCTATGGTATGGTGGAATTAAAGTGCCTAGGACCATAACGAACTTAACTAGGCTTCATAATCTGGAAACTATTGAAGCAAGTTTAGAGACTATCCGATGTTGCATCTTTGACGGTGCTAAGAGCATTTTCGGTTTGCAATGTGAAAAGGGAGCATGCTTCAAACCTGTGCAAGGCTGTAAAGAACATGAGACATCTGGTCCATTTGACAATTGCAACTTCAGACAATGAAAATCAAATATTACCACTGGAAGCACTTGATTTACCAGGAACTCTTTCTAAACTTGTACTGCAAGGGTGTCTGGAAAAGGAACGGATGCCTCAGATTGTCTCATCCTGGTTGCAGCTCAAAAGTCTCACTAAATTGTCTCTGATATCCTCCAAACTTGATGAAGTCTCATTTTCTAGTCTTATGGAGTTACGTGATTTATGCTATCTTGAACTGGTTCAGGCTTACGATGGGAAGAAACTGTACTTCTCTGAATCGTCGTTTCCTAGACTCCAACGGCTAGGAATATTAAGTGCTACGCAGCTTAACCAAGTGCAAATAGAAGAAGGCGCACTGGAAAACCTTGAAGAGCTAAGGCTCAACAACTGCCCAAATTTGGAGTGCATACCTCAAGGTATTGAGTACCTCACAGCAATTGAAGAATTATATTTGGAAAATGTTGCAGAGGAGCTCGTAGAGAAGCTTATTAAGCAAGGAAGTGGAGTAGATGAATTCAATGAAGAACTTGCAAAGATTAGCCACATTAAATTGATTTTTGTTATGTCAACTGAGAAAAAGTATCGGAAAAGAATTGTTCCGTTAAGAGTTAAAGAACTCACAGGATAAAGGGTTGGATGTTATTTCCATATGATGTACAAGGTATGCATTTTGTGTGGTTTCTTATTTATTGGGTAAGCCGTAGTAACACGTGGTAATCCTGAGTGTTTGGTTGGTCCTTTGTTCCTTCAGGTTGCTGCGGGTTGCTTGCGGTGTCAGGTGATTCGCTTAAACTGAACATTCCATGCGTCAACACCAAGGGGTGCACATGGCATGCGTGTAGCAGCGAGGAGAGGGCCTGGACTGAAGCAGGTGGTTATCCATCCTGATCAACATCTTTTTTGCAAATAATTTAACAAATTAAGCGTGAACACTGTTATAGTATAAGCACGAGCATCCTTGTGTAGATAGTGCTAGCTTTGTGTTTTGGTGTAATTGATTATATGGTCCGGTTTCCATTTAATATGTTTCGAAACTTCTCGTCTCTCAGATCTGTAATAGACACTTATGGATTTTTTATTGCTTTGGATTCATGTACTTCACGTTTAATTTTGATTGGTTTGGGTTCATGTACTATTGCACTTCATAGTTATTGAAGAGGACAAAATTGTTTCCGTTTTTTTCTAAAAAGAATATACTTCACGGTTGAGGCATCTGCCAAAGTGGTGTGGTTAATTTCCATATCTGAACTGATTTTTGAGGATGCAGGAAAGAGTTTGAGATAACTGATAGGATAAAACCTAATCCGACCGCAGATGCATCATAGGAAATGGGATTTTAAAAATCTAAAGGTTATGGATTATCTGATATATTAGTATAGATTAACCGAAGTTCAAAAAGGATTATCCAATAACTTTTCTTGGCCACAAGCATAATAGAACAACTTTTCATGGCCAAACATAACACAAACACAGCCAAAATTGTAGTTTATACCCAGACAGGTGTTAGCCATCATCAAGAGCTTTTCACTGCGTGCAACCAATAGTGAGTATCCACAAGTTGTACCTCTTCTTCAAGCGATTGCTTCAATTTATTGGTTTGCTTTTCTAGAATACTCAAATCAGTTAGTCACGGTAATTTTCGAAGTTAGAGACGGGCAAGCCATTTGCCTCTAACAAATGGTCTATGTAAATTGAGTAATACGGGTAGACGTGTTAAGATGACCACATCTATTAATGGTTTTTAGAAAATAAAAAACAAAAAAATTAGGTGCTTCTATATATTGGCTACTAAATGAACTCAAATAAAAAAGTTTTAACTACAAAGTTTTAAATCTTGTCAAGCACTACAACTTTGTATAGGATATGCCTCCGTTCGAGATTGTTTAAAAAATAGAAAAAAGAATCTCAAAATATATGAATTTAAAACAAATACTTGATATCAACAACAAACTTGTAGATCATGTCAGCCACTACAACTTTGGTATTAACCACTTTGAACATTCAAGGTCGTGTGGAAATTCTAATTTTTAAATTCAAAACCAATAACTTAAAACTCATATTCGGGACTCTAAACAACTTCAAGCCAAAAACTTTTTGACTATGAAGTTGTAGACCGTATTGAGAACTACAAGGTTGTTTGAAAATTTTAAATTTATAATCCATGAAATTAAAACAATATTTTAGGATCCTAGCTAAATAGTTTCAAATCATTTTTTTTTGCTACAAAGTTGTAAATCACGAATTTTAATGTAATCTAAACATGCCAACATGCCATGAGTTACTTTATGTTTTTTTAATTGGTAATTCATAGAAAAATCTAAGGGGTTACTTATATTTTATAATAGCATAGTGGATAATGTATTAGACATAAAATTAGAGAGTTAGTTCAGATTAATGTTATAATAACAACATAGGTGTGTAATTATATATAGATTTAGGGATTACATTAAATTGTTTTTCAGGCAGAAGTGGGTACTTTTTTTAGAAACAAAAAGATGTAATGGTTAATATTGTAAATGGTGAATAGAGTTTACCAAACTAATGTCAGATTTTTTTATACTTACTATATTTTTTCTTTTTTTTTCAAGTGCGTCCTAATATGAGTCTGATATCGACGCAGAACAAGCAAACACGTTACAGAAGAAAGTCCATCTGTCCCTTTTTATCGCTACATTGGAAAAAAGCAAGTTCAGTATAACAACTGAAGCCATTTCTTGCATCATTTCAAACAAAAGAAGCTGGAAGTTGCTTCAAAAAAAAAAAAAGAAGCTGGAAGCTTTTTTGTTGATATATATTTTGTCCAGAGTTAAGAAAGCCACGCAGAAACATCTCTGTGGAAGAACCTTGTGTACACCGGCACGGCAGTGGTAACCGGTCAACACGCAATTGCCAGAAGAGCTCTACTCCAAGTCCAATAAGGTCTTGTTTAGTTTCCAAAAATTTTCACCCCAAATTATCACATCGTCAAATCTTACGGTATATGCATGGAGTATTAAATATAGACGAAAAAAAATTAATTGCACAGTTTGGTTGGAAACCGCGAGACGAATATTTTAAGACTAATTAGTCCATGATTAGCCATAAGTGCTACAGTAACTAACATGCGCTAATGATGAATTAATTAGACTTAATAAATTCGTCTCGTAGTTTCCAGGCGAGCTATGTAATTAGTTTTTTTATTAGTATTCGAAAACCTCTTCCGACATCCCCGAAACATCCAATATGACATTAAATATTTTCATTTCGTGAACTAAACACAGCCTAAAGTTTCCACCATGTTAGGTGTGGACGGTCGACCATTGACCGGTTGAAAACGTGTGCATGTGCCTAAAGTTTCCACCATGTCCATCTATTATTGCACTTCCGAAAGATTGGATCTGAAGAATGGCACCATCACACAGACACACCAATAATGGGAGCCGGGAGTAGCACTTGGACTCACCACCTCCTGCAACTGTTCTTCCCGGTCCTCGTCGTCGCCACCAGCAGCAGCAGCAGCAGCAGCCATACCACCACCATCAACATCACCAACCGATGCTCCTACACCGTGTGGCCGGCCGCCACACCCGTGGGCGGCGGCGTGCGGCTGGACCCAGGCAACACCTGGGTGCTCCAAGTGCCGGGAAACACCCAAACCGGTTGTTCATTCGACGGCCCCGGCAACAAGTCCTGCCAGACGGGTGACTGCGGCGGCGTGCTGGCATGCAAGACAAGCGGCCAGCCACCCATAACGATGGCAGAGTTCACCATGGGTGGCTTCAACAGCCTGGATTTCTTCGACATCACCGTCGTCGACGGCTTCAACGTGCCCATGGACTTCCTGCCGGTGCCATCCAATGGATCGTCGGGGTGCAGCAGGGGGGCGCGCTGCCCGGCTGACATCACGTCGCAGTGCCCCAATGAGCTCAAGGTGCCTGGGGGTTGCCGCGGCGCCTGCGAAGTCTGCAACGGCAGCACGGTAAACAGTAACACGGTGTTCTATGTGCGGATGTGCCCTGACGCCTACAGCTACTCCCTGGATCAAGGTCCGATCATGTATAATTGTCCTTCAGGAACAAACTATCAGATCATTTTATGTCCCCCTGTTGATCTTATATCTTTATCTCCACCTATTCCAAATGGAACAAGTAGCATCACATCCTCCGCAAAATCCAAGAAAGGACGCATATTTGGTTTTGTTCTAGGTGGATCTCTAGGTGGTTTCTTTTTTGTCACATCCTTCATCCTGTTCATCTTGGTGCGTAGACGACGATTGCAGCGGCGCCAAAAGATGCAGCAGGAAGAGGAGGAAGCAGAGTTTGAGAGGCTACCAGGGATGCCTAGGAGGTTCACATTTGAGCAGCTGCAAGAAGCAACTGATCAGTTCAGAGAGAAGCTCGGGGAAGGAGGATTTGGGTCCGTTTTCAAAGGACATTTTGGTGAGCAAGCAATCGCGGTGAAGCAGTTGGAAAGAGCTGGTCAGGGAACGAGGGAATTCATGGCAGAGGTTCAGACCATCGGCAGCATTCACCATATCAATCTGGTGAGGGTAATCGGTTTTTGTGCAGAGAAATCGCACAGGCTCTTGGTTTATGAGTACATGCCCAGAGGATCCTTGGACCAGTGGATCTTTGGCCGGCACGGCGATGATGACGACACTCCTTCCTGGATTGGCAAACACTATGCAAGATTATTGCTCATATAGCTAAGGGCCTCTGTTATCTTCACGAGGAGTGCATGAAGAGAGTTGCTCACCTGGATGTGAAACCACAGAACATCCTCTTAGATGACAACTTCGATGCTAAACTCTCCGATTTTGGACTGTGCAAGCTCATCGACCGGGATAAGAGCCAAGTGATTACAAGAATGAGGGGCACGCCGGGATATTTAGCGCCTGAATGGTTGACATCGCACATCACAGAAAAGGCCGATGTATATAGCTTTGGTGTAGTGGTGATGGAGATCATTAGTGGAAGGAAGAACCTGGACACTTCTCGGTCTGAAAAGAGCTTTCATCTTATTACCTTGCTGGAAGAGAAGTTGAAGAGTGATCGGTTGGTTGATTTGATTGATATGTGCAGTAGTAGTGACAGTCAGGCACACAAGCAAGAAGCAATTCAGATGATGAAGCTCGCAATGTGGTGTTTGCAGATTGATTGCAAACGAAGGCCCAAAACGTCTGAGGTCGTAAAAGTCTTGGAAGGCACTATGAGTGCCAAAACTGACATAGATCACAACTTTGTCGTGACAAATCCAGCAAGCTTTGGTGCTCCTGGAATTGTGGGCATGTCAGCTCCACCTCTAGCCTCAGAAGTGTCAGGCCCAAGGTGAGAGACTGAGGCAATTTATATGTGTAGAGAATTTAGCATCCTTCTTAGAAAAATCTGTTCAGTCAGTGATTAAAACTGCAGAATTCACAACATTGTAAACAATCTGTGGTCCACGGTACAAATTCGCTTATTTTAGTTTTGTTCAGCTTTCAATTATTGTGCAATTCTGTTTCTGATTTTTATAGCTAAAACTAATAGCATGTCCTAGAACAATGCTAACTCATATGAAGCAGCAGAAACGCATAGACATGAAAGCAAAACGAAAGGGTTCCATTGACTCCATGAGGCCTCCATTCAGCTAGACAGTAGAAAGCTTAAGGGATCCTACTGTTGGGATGTGATCTCAAGCCAACATATTAGTTTGACAATAATTATTAGGTCCACCAAATAGTGCCTATTTTATTAAATAATCGGCACTCGGCAGCAATCCTAAGCCTTCTAGGGTTTTAATAAAGCATGATTAAGTTTATCACAGCTCTGTTTTCAGGGCATGCCTAAGTCAAATTCTTGGATGCTATAAACCTAAGATATGAAGATGTAAGTGTTGGAGGTAACACAGACTTGATTAGCCTGAAAAGCCACAAACCATAGGCCGTCTCCTTGATTATATATAGAGATAGACATTGCATTGATTACAAACAGCTCACTAGAGCATAGCTAATCAGATAGGTGCCTTGGTAGCCGTACACACCTCTTGGGCTGCCCAAGGTCTTTAATGACTGTAATTAACTAGCATAGTTATCTAGGAAGTGCTTAGAAAGCAGGGCTTATTAACTACAGTAAGGTGTGCATCAGATCTACTCTATGATAAATCAGTAAGCAAACAGCGTGTTTTAGGGTAATTAGGCTTTAAGGCTTACTGTTTCCATGGATATAAATCCTGCATTAGGCACAATGGTAGCTCCTTTTATGCTACTAAGTTTCTAAGATGGCATATCAGATGCAAATCAGTGAGAAAATGGTCTAATTTCAAGTTTAAGTATTACACAATTAAAAGTTCATCACTGATCAACATTTTTTTAGCCTGGGATAAGCATTAAGAACGAGATGATTGGACAAATCCAGAGAAAAGTCCAAGAATCCTCAAATAAAATTCTCCAAAGTTCCAAAGCTAACTCTAACTCTGTTTTGAAGCTAACCGTGACCTCAAGTTGAGCGAACTCACCTCTACTCGCCATGTAGCCGCTCGCGGTCTCGCGGAACGAGTCGAAGCCGCCGCACGTGGATCACTGGTGCCCCTGAGCCGGCCGGAGCTGACCTTAACGGCACGAGCGATGCAAGAATGTTGCCGTGCGCACGACCCGCCGGATCTGACCCAACAACGTGCGGGCCATCAGACCTGGCACGCGCGCGCCTAGTGCGCCTCGGCGGTCATGAGCTGGACCGCCGCCGTCACCGCCTTGCTGCACGCGTGTGTGGCTCCGCCCCAAGGGCGCCGCAGTGGAGCCCCTAGACGGAGCCGCGCGCAGGCTAGCCGCACGCGAGCGCCGGCGAGAGGGACCACGGTGGGACCGGTGGTGGCTGCCCACCCTCTCGGGCGTCTGGCATTCGCACGGGGAGAAGAAGGTGAGGGAGAGCATGAGAAGAGAGGAATGGCACCGCCGGCCCGCCGCTTGGAGAAGAGAGACGAAGCGCAGAAATGCTGCAGTCAGCCATTTCTAGGCCTGGGCCAGGTTGGACAAGCCGTCTCCAGTGCTGCAGATCGCGTAAGCTGGAATGTGATCTGGGCCATCAACACATTATTCAGACAGTATATATATAAAAAAAACACACATTATTCAGATGTACGCTGAATTTGCTAAAAAAAACGTACGCTGAGTGAGGAATTTTTTATAGTATTTAAACTCTTTATTTTTGAAAAACTTTTTATCCCAATTAAAAAATTGCAAAACTATACTACTATGGGCGATTGAACCGGTACTTGCCGCCGGTTGAATTGCGGAATTTTCTATTCCTCTGTTGTCTCATCTTAAAAAGATAAATCATAACTTTTATATATAAATTTAGATGAAGTTAAAGTTTATAAGAAAGACGTAGATAAAAAATAGATCTGCCACTTTATAGTTTATGATTTTTTAATTGAAATTGTTTTGATATTTAAAAATGTAAATACTGTTCAGATGTCCATTTGTAGATCTAAATATTAAATTTATTATTTAGGTTTCAAGATAGCTTTAAATGAAAATATTATAAACTACAAAAATGTAGACCTTTTATGTAAACTTGTAGATCTATTTTTTTCTCTATAACTTTCATATGATTTTGTATCTTTAAAATTTTTTAATTTATGAATTTTTTAGATTAGCTTAACAGAGAAGAGGAAATTCTGCCAACTCAACCATGGATAGGTAGCCGCTGATTCAATCGGTGGCAGTAGTATAGTGTTGCATTTTTTTTAATTTAGACAGAAATACTTTTGCAAAAACTTAATTAAAAAAATATAAAAAAAATCCATGAGTTAGTGTAAGTGTCGTTGGTCTATATTTAGGTTTTGGATACAAAATATTTCTAGAGTTTTAGAAAAATATCATGATTTTATGAAATACTTCCTCCATCCCAAATGATAAGACGTTTGACTTTTTTAGCCTCAAGTTTGACCACTCGTCTTATTTAAAAAATTTATGCAAATATAGTCAAATTTAAGTCATTCTTGAAGAATTTTTATTAATAAACCAAACCACGACGAAAGAAGTGATATTTTACACAAATTTTTGAATAAGACGAGTGATCAAACTTGGTGTCAAAAAAGTCAAACGTCTTACAATTTGGGATGGATTGAGTACTTTGGTTTTAGAGTGCCTTAGAAGTGTTTGGATGCAACAAATTTTAAGGTTTTGAGTACGAATTGTGTTCAGCGTCGGTGCAGTACTGAGACGTGGCGGTGGATGCATTGCCGATGATCTGGCGTCGCCCACCTGCTGCTCATCGCGAGTTTCCATGTAGACACGACGACTCTCATAGGGGTATCCCGCCGTCTATGCCCTCATACACTACTTCAGATTGACCTATCAGTAACATCTTTATCACCACCGATATCATTAAAATTGTTGGTGATAGCTATCACCAACGGTTCATAATACGAACTGTTGGCGATGAGAGTATCACCGCCGGTTCTTAAGAACGTGCGGGTTGATAATTATCACCGCCACTTTGTCTTACCAACAGGCGGAGATAGTCCATCATCTTAGCTGCTTTGCACCACCAACCGGCGGTGATAATGTGCTCCTCATCATTGCCGCCTCGCCATATGAACCAGCTGATAAGGGGTCGGAGATCACCAACAGCAAGATACCGATGGAAACCTCCTCGGAGTGGTCCGATCTTCACGACAGTAGGTTGGAAATCACAAGATAACTTGCTGCGAACAGCGGAAGATAACTAGCTTTATACCTACCAAGGTTGGATGCGACCAAGCGACGGGGAGAGAGGCACCGAAACCGCGAAGACTTCGACTCGATCTCCGAACGACCGCAGAACCACAACCGGAGCTAATCCACACAAGGCAGGGCAGCCGTACTGGAACCCATAAAGCACGAACTAGTGGATCCCAGAGGAATCTCTTCACAAGTCCAGGAAGAACAAGGAAGAACAAGGGTTTGAGTAAGCACTCGGCAGCTCGGCTACAATATCACTGGAATTATCAAATCATCGAAAGTCCTTTTCTAGTAGCCTAGAGGTGGTATTTATACTATGAGAAGTCTCTAAGATAGATGTGAACTAAAGAAGCCATGTTGGGAGGTGGAAGGTCAACGCACGAGGTGGTCTTTAGTTTCTGCGTGTCTTCTGGGCTTCTAGGCAGTCTTTAATGTTTTGGTCATAACTCCTTCCTGGAAAGTCCAAATGATGAACCGTTGGATGCGTTGGAAAGCTAACTTCATCATCTTTCCAACCATGTATGCTATGCACCACGAATTATTGTAGAATGGTACAGTTTTTGCATGGGATCTTTAGCTTCATGCAGACTATTGAGCTTCAGAGCAGTCTTCACTAAAACTGGTCGGACGCCACGCTGGACACTCCAAACTGGTCGGCATGACATCATTGGAAACTAAGCTTCAAGATCTCTCTGATCCATCCTTGATGTATCTTTGTCTTTCTTCTTGGAGAACCTGAGTAATAACAACATGCACGACTTAGGTAGCTCAAAATTACCATCAATGTTTAATTGAAATTCACAAAGTAGCGTGTGCACCTCTTGTTGTATCTTTTTGGTGCGACTACGGGTGATTGGTCCAGTAGGGACTTGGAGTGGTGTATCAGCTGAAGAGGTCACCGAGGTCGGTGAGGTGGTTGGAGAGGTCGTCGATGTTCCTGAGGTGGTCGGAGAGGTGATTGGAGTGGTCGGAGAGGTGGTCGGAGTGGTCGCCGAGGTTCCCGGAGTGGTCGGAGAGGTGGTCGAAGTGGTCGTCGAGGTTCTCGAAAAGGTCAGAAAGGTGGTCAGAGTGGTCGCCGAGGTCTCCGATGCTGGCGTGGTCACATCATCCTCCCCTCCTTGAAAAAGAGTCGTCCTCGACTCTTCCAATCCAAAGAATGGAGAGAGGTCGGCCACATTAAAACTGGTACTCACACCATAAGTACTAGGTAGATCAATTTCATAAGCGTTGTCGTTGATCTTGCGTAGCACTTTGAATGGGCCATCAGCTCGGGCTTGCAACTTGTTTTTGCGTTGTTCAGGGAACCTGTCTTTGCGTAGATGCACCCAAACCAAGTCTCTTGGTTCAAATAACACCTTCCTTCGACCTTTATTGGCGTGCTTCTCATTCATCCTTGTCATCTTTTTAATGTTTGTCCGAGCTCTATCATGAAGGTTCTTGACAAACTCGGCTCGCTTACTTGCATCGAAGTTTACACGTTCCTGCATAGGTAATGGCAAAAGATCTATGGGAGCAGTGGGTTTAAACCCATATACAATTTCAAATGGACAAAATTTAGTGGTCGAGTGTACTGCCCTGTTGTATGCAAATTCGACATGTGGCAAACTTTCTTCCCAAAGTTTCAAGT